ACACCCACACACCCACCCACACACACACACACACTGACACACACACACAGGGGCTAATACACAGGGGGGGTTGATACACACACACACACAGGGGCTAATATATACACACACTCACCTCTTGCGTTCCCTGCTGCGAGATGTGGACCTGGAAGATGAAGGGAACACTGATTAGAGCACAGCAGCGCACAGAGCAGGTGGAAGGCTGAGACGTCACAAGGCTGACACTGCCAATGACAGACTAGTTGGCAGCAATGATTGGTGTGAATATTTGCAATACCCACAGCTTGTCACGAGTGTCTCCTGCTCTCAGAGGTTGTACAGATTGTGTGTTTGGGAGACTGAACAAACATTTAAACCAATCTTCTCAACGATAGCAATAATCCTTGTAGTTGATATAGGCTTTATCACATCTTCCAGACGTCTCAAATATACTGTAAAGTGAATTGACTGTACATTGTGGGCCAAACATGGCAGCCATTTGTGCACAGCAGTGTCCCACAAAAAGTCGTAGAATGAGTGATCAAATTATTATTTTTTGAAGGGTTTATTACCCCTGGAAAAGCCACCTGCCAATCCACTAAGAACCACACAACAGACTAAAGGATAAGTTAAGAGGGCAACAGAGACCAGGGAAGCCCCCACATGCGGGTGGGGGGGGCCTTGTGGTGTTGCACACACACACACCATCAGGGGTGTGTGGGGGGGGGGTGGGGAAGAATGTCAGTCACACTAACTGTCACACCACACAATGCCTACAAACCTTCTCTTCATTCGTTCCTCCTTTTCTCGCTCCTCTCTTCGTTTCAGACGCTCCTGAGTCCTTTTCTCCTGTTTTTCTGCAACAAGTTTCTGTCGGGCAGAGATACACAAGCAGCTGTTTCAGTAATGGCCTCCAGCTAAAGGCTCACTGTCATAGCTTCCAATGAGAAGCCTCCATCAGTCCATTACAGCTCAGCCCCGCAGCCCATTATAGCCTTGAGTCGCTTCTTAAACAAGTCCAGTGTCCGGGCCTCAACCACCTTCTGGGAACACTCTCCAGACATCAACTCCCTGTCATGATACTCACCCTGAACCCTCGCTGGCTCTAAACATTTTGGAAATAAGTATTAACCCTTACATTTGAAACAATGCCTTACTATGTCATCCAGATGTTTCAAAGCGTTCACTTAAGTGTAGTGACTGTGTGTTTTTTAGACAAACACGGCAACAAATTTGTGCACAATGATGTCTTCCGCAAGCAGCCATGAAGTAAGCGAGTGATCTCATCTGGGGGATTGTCGGCCAGGACACCGGGGGGCGGGGGGGGAAGAGAGAGAAACTCCCCTCTCTTTTACCCCCAACAGCGCTGTGGGAGATCTTTAACGTCCACCTGAACAGAGCACAGTCGGGAGTGAGGTTTAATGTCTCATCTGAAGGCTGGCACCTCTGATAATGCCACTCTCTCTCGCTCTCTCCCCCCAGTGCTGCACTGGAGCATCAGTCTGGACTGTGAGCTCAGAGTCCCCAACGTGGGGCTTGAACACAGGAGAGATGAGAGACTGGCTGGCTGGCTGACTGGCTGAGCCGGGCTCAGGGCTGGAGAGTGAGGGGAACTGGCTGACCTTTAGCTCCTCCAGTTTGTCCCGGATTTCGATGAAGCCGAGGTGAAGTTTCCCCCCAAAGTGGTCAGCGAGGCGGCGATCGTTGTCATGCAGGCCCAGGTACGCAGAGCAAACCTCACACACTCTCAGCTTCTGCTGCTGGAAACTGGAGGCCGGCATGGAGTTCCTGTACACCTCCTGACACAGCGAGAGAGAGGGAGAGAGAGAGACACACAGTGATCTGTCTGTCCTGTATTCGCTTTCAGATCCCTTTATTCCCTTGCTGGCCTCCCCTACCTCTCCGACCTGCTCACCCCCCACTGCCTCCGCTCAGGCGGCTTCAGCCTCCTGTTTGTCCCGCGTCCCATCCACTCCAGTGGCCATGCCTTCAGCCGCTACGCCCCAAAACTCTGTCACTGTCTCCCTCAACCCCTCGGCCTCGCCCCATCCCTCACTCCCCATCTTCAAATCCCGCCTAAAGAACCTTTTGATCCCCTCTCCCCCGCTCGGGGTCAGACTCCGCCACTGTCAAGTGCCTCCAGCTCGCCACCCCATGTGAAGGGCGCTGGGTAAATGCAAGTAGTTGTAGTTGTTGTTGCCTTCCCACCCTGTGTTCCCAGCAGCAGCGAAATGGTCTGAAAAAGCACCCACCACAACCTCTCCAGCCCACCCCACTCACCCCAAATTAGAAGTTAGAATCTAAATAACTACAAAGAAGTCAGCTACAGGGGTGTGGGGGCAAATGGCAAGTAGTGAGACTAAAAGGATTGCTCTTTGAAGAGCAGTAGAGACACAATGGGCCAAACGGCCTTCTTTTGTGCTGTAAATTTCTACGATTCTTACTCCATGTATTTGATACAGTGTCAAAACATCTTAAAGTGCTTCATAATGATAGACGATTGAGACCAGCTCAGCACTGCCATGTACAGCAGAGAGCTCCTGCTCGCCTCTGGCAGGCTGCGTGAGGAGTAGCAGTCAGTCTGTGACGGGGTTTGTGACGGAAATCACTGGCAGAGCAAACAGATGTATAAATAAATCAGTTCCCTCAACAGCCCATCAAATACACCAAGCGGGAGATTAACAGAACCACCGCTGCCAGTCTGCAACCTTCTGACTCCAGGCCGAGAGAGAGAGAGTGCACGTGTGTGGGTGCGAGTGTGTGTGGGGTGGGAGTGTGTGGGTGTATGTGTGTATGTGTGTGTGGGTGGGTGGGGGTGTGTGTGGGGTGGTGGTGTGTGTGGGGTGGGGGTGTGTGTATGTGTGTGTTGTATGTGTGTGTGTGTGGGTGGGTGGGGGTGTGTAGGGGAGTGTGTGGGTGGGGGTGTGTAGAGGAATGTGGGTGTGTCGGTGGGGGTGTGGGTGTGTGGGTTTCGCTTGCACGGATTACCTGCTGCACTGTGTAACGACTTACACTGAACCCTGAGTCTAGGAAATGCAATCACTTCTGACTATTTTGGGGGGAGTTTGCATGACACTTGATTTCAGTCACTCCCGGATGAAGTGTGTGCTGACCTGACCTACAATAGTGACCTTCAAAATACAAGCTGCTATGCACACACGCCCTATACTCGCGGGAGAAGGGATCAGAGAGCCTGGGAGGGAGTAAGGATTGGGTGTAGGCTTGTGTTGAGTCTGAACAAAGAAACAGTGATAGAACTTGGAAGCTGCAATCTGCGGAGTGGGCTGTGTCTGCACTGGAACACCAGCCCAGGACCAAGTAGCCGGGGGGAAACTCACACCTCAAGGCTGCCTTAAACCCTACATGGGAGTATCTGTCACGAACCGCAGACTGGAGTCAGCGAGTGAGGGGTGTTTTGAGGGAATACAGTCTCGTGGCTACATTTTATTTACACTAACAGACGGCAGTAATCTGTAAACACCGCCTGATCTCATCGCCCAACACGAGATCTCGACAGCGTTACTCTGAGCAACAGTGGAAACCTTATAAGGAGCCAATAAACACTCTCGGAGCCAGTAACTGGAGTAAAGGAGGTCACTTACCCAGAATGCGCTGGAGGAAGGAGAGGCGATGGTGTCCCCCTGGTGGTGAAAAGGGTCAGTGTCACCCACTGGACAACACAGCGCAGCGCAGCGGATCACGTCACAATCACATCAACTCGATTAAAGGGATCTCGTCTCTCCAGAACAACCCCCCCCACTCACACCCCCATAACCCAAACAGCTGTAAAAAGGGCATATGGGCTTTATAAATAGGGGCATAGAGTACCAGAGTCAGGAGGTTATGATTAACCCTATAAACACTGGTTAGGCCTCAGTTAGAATACTGCGCCCAGTTCTGGGCACCGCACTATAGGAAGGACGTTAAGGCATTGGAAAGGGTACAGAGGAGATTTACGAGGATGGGACCAGGAATGAGGGACCGTAATGATAAGGAAAGGCTGGAGAGGCCGGGATTATTCTCATTGGAGCAGCGAAGGTTACGAGGACCTGATAGAGGTCTTCAAAATCATGAGGGGATTTGATACAACAACAACAACAAGATTCCATTTATAGAGCGCCTTTCACGTCTGGAGGACGTCCCAGGGCACTGTACAGTTGGATCAGGACCCGAGCATTGGGGGGAAATGGTCAGGGTGAGGGAAGGGAGGGAGTGAGGGAAGGGAGGGAACGAGGAGGGGGGAAATGGTCAGGGGGAGGGAAGGGAGGGAGTGAGGAGGGGGCAGAGAGTCGAGAGGGGAGCTGAAGACACTGTCAAAGAGAAAGGTCTTGAGACCGGCCTTGAAGGAGGAAAGGGAGGAAGCGGCGAAGGCACTGGGGGATAGAGTTCCAGAGCCTCGGGGCTGAGAGGCTGAAGGCCCGGCCACCGATGGTAGGGCGGTTGGGGCGGGGGATGTGGAGCAGACCGGAGCCAGAGGAACGGAGGGTACGGGCAGGTAAGTAGGGGGATAGTAGGTCGGAGAGGTAGGAGGGAGCGAGGCCGTGAATGGCCTTGTAGGTGAGGGTGAGGATCTTGAATTCGATCCTCTGGGGGATGGGGAGCAGTGGAGGCGAGCGATGGCGAGGGTGAGGGCGATGGTGAGGTTGAGGGCGAGGGTGGGAGTGATGTGGTGCGGGACAGTACACGAGCTGCAGAGTTCTGAATGACCTGCAGTGTGGAGGGAGGGCCGGGAAGGCCGACGAGGAGAGAGTTCCCATAGTCCAGCCTTGAGGTGATGAAGCCGTGGACCAGGGTTTCAGCCGCGTGAGGGGTGAGGTAGTGCCGTAGTCTGGCGATGTTCCGGAGGTGATGGAAGGCGGTGCCAGTTGTGGTGCGGATATGAGGGAGAAAGGACAGCTCAGGGTCGAACAGAACCCCGAGGTTCCTGACTGGCTTTGAGAGGTGGAGAGTGCGGAGCTGATGCTGTCAGCGCCTGAGGTGCGGAGGCGCTGACGTGAGCCAATCAGGAGGGCCTCGGTTTTTCGCACGTTGAGCTGAAGAAAGTTGTCTCTCGTCCAGGACTCGATGTCGGACAGACAGCTGTCAGGACATCGGGGGTCGTGGAGTTGAGGGTAGAGGAGGAAAGGTAGAGTTGGGTGTCATCCGCATACATGTGGGAGTTAACCCCATGTCTGCGGATGATGTCACCACAGGGGGAGCATATAGAGGGTGAAGAGGAGGGGACCAAGGACAGAGCCCTGAGGGACACTGCACGAGACAGTGGGGGGGGTGGAGGAAAAGCCATTCGTGGAAACAAAGTGAAGACGGTGGGAGAGGTACGACCTAAACCACTCAAGGAAAGGGCCTTGAAGGTTGAGGTGGGAGGACAAGCGGTGGAGTAGGATAGCGTGGTCGACCGTATCGAATGCTGCCGATAGGTCGAGGAGGACGAGGAGGCAGAGGGAGCCCTGGTCACAGATGGTCAGGATGTCATTGGTGACCTTGACCAGGGCAGTTTCTGTGCTATGGGCAGCACGGAAACCCGACTGAAGGGGTTCGAATAATGAATGGGTGGAGAGGAAAGAGCGCAGCTGGGAGGCGACAACTCATTCCAGGACCTTGGACAGGAAGGGGAGGTTGGAGATGGGCCGGAGATTGATAGCTGCGACGCATCAAGGGAGGGTTTTTTCAAGGTGGGAGTGATGATGGCAGTTTTTAAGGGAATGGGAACAGAGCCACAGGAGAGGGACAGGTTGACGATGTCTGTGATATGTGGGGCAAGGAGGTGGAGCTGAGAGATAAGGAGTGGAGTGGGGATGGGGTCAAGGGAGCAGGTGGTGGGTTTCAGGGATAGGTTGAGTTTGGTGACAGAGGGTGGGGAAACGGGTACGAAAGTGTGTAGGGGAGGATGGGTAGGAGTCGGAGTGTGGGAGGGAGGGGGTGGGGGTGGGGAGAGTCGGAGTGTGGGAGGAAGGGGGTGGGGGGTGGGTGGATGTTGGAGGGGAAGTGACCGCGGAGCGAATTTCCTTGATTTTGAGGACTCCAAGGCAGGGGTTAGGGATTGTGGGGGTAACTTCTTCCAGTATCGAGTGTGGAGGAGAGGGTATTGTGGAGGAGGGAGAGAGGAGAAGAGGGGTCGGTGAGGGTTGAAGGCCAGAGGGAGAGGAGTTCAGAGGACTCCAAGGCATCGGTTAGGGATTGTGGGGGTAACTTCTTCCAAGGGCGGTAGAAGATGGTGGTGGGTCTGGTGGAGGTGGGGAGGGGGGTGGAGGTGGTGAAGGAGATGAAGTGGTGGTCGGAGACTGCCTTGTCAGTGATAGTGACATCCGAGACACTGAGGCCCCGGGTGATCACCAAGTCGAGTCGGTGGCCGTGACTGTGAGTGGGGGAGTTGATGTGGAGGGAGAGGTTGAGTGAGGAGAGCAGGGAGGAGAAGTCTGAGGAGATGGAGCAGGAGGGGGTGAAGTGCAGGTTGAAGTCGCCCAGGATGATGAGGCAATCAGAGCAGAGGCAGAGAGATGTGAGAAGTGTCGAAATATCGGAGATGAAGGTGATGATAGGTTAGAAAGAGAAAAACTGTTCCCACTGGTGGTGTGTCGGTGACTTGAGGTCACAGATTCAAAATAATAATAATAATAGTTATATAGTCTCTAAAAGCCGAGGGGAGGTGAGAAGAAATTTCTTCACGCAGCGAGTTGTTCGAATCTGGAACGCAATGCCTGAAAGGGCGGTTGAGGCCGATTCAATAACTACATTTAAAAACGCAGTGGACGGGTATTTGAGGAGGACGGGTTTGCAGGTTATGGGAAAAGGGCCGGGGAGTGGGACTGACATTACATTGCTCTTCTCAAAGAGCCGCATAGACTCGATGGACCGAATGTCCTCTTTTTGTGCTGTACGATTCTATGAGAGGGCTCCAATCCCTTTGAACAGTTTAAGGAGCTTTTGGGGAAGCATCAAGAACTCAGGCGGGTTTTGCCCCACACAGAAACATCTTGACCTAAAGGCCAAAAACGTTTACGTTTCTTCGTTTAAAATGGACTAAGGTTTATTCCCTGCTCTCACCTCTGCTTTCCTCTTCTTGGCTCTTGCCTTCTCCACCTCCTTCATGACCTGCTGGGATTCTTCAACATTCCCCTCGGCTCCCAGCTGCTCCGCTTTGGCCAACAGCTTCCCAATCTCCTCGTTCAGCTCGTGGACACGTTCAGCCTGTCAAACCCAAGCCTCAGTTACACAGGGCAAACACTCATCATGCAACTTAGTCAAGTACCTCTGTGCCCACGGTCAACCCCTGCCCCCTCCCCCAATGATACAGCACATCCCCAGCACTGCCTCCTGACGTGAAAGGCGCTATAGAAATGTAATTTGTTGTTGTTGTTGTTGTTGTTGTATGGGGCATCAGTCTAGACTATATGAGTTCCATGTTGTGATGTGGGGCTTGAACCCACAACCTTGTGACTCACGAGTGTGAGACTGAGCCAGCCTGATACCCATTAGATTTTTTATAGACTGACACTTTATGAGCTGCTAATCCTATCATTTCCTGTATTATCCCGGCTGCTGGTTTAAGCAGGGTGTCACATTAGCCTCTGACAGCATTGATTTCAACAGGATTCCGCTAACTCTTGCCACGGGGTCTTGGATATAAACCACAGGGTCATGTCTATCTGTCTCTCTACATTTGAGTAATTTCTCCTTCAATATAACATCTCTGCTGACTAGAATCATAGAACGCAGAAGGGGCCATTCGGCCCATCGTGTCAGTGCGGCTCTTTGAAAAGAGCTTCCAAATCAACCCCACTCCCCTGCTCTCTCCCCATAGCCCTGATCAACCCCACTCCCCCGCTCTCTCCCCATAGCCCTGATCAACCCCACTCCCCCGCTCTCTCCCCATAGCCCTGATCAACCCCACTCCCCGCTCTCTCCCCATAGCCCTGATCAACCCCACTCCCCCGCTCTCTCCCCATAGCCCTGATCAACCCCACTCCCCTGCTCTCTCCCCATAGCCCTGATCAACCCCACTCCCCCGCTCTCTCCCCATAGCCCTGATCAACCCCACTGCCCTGATCAACCCCACTCCCCCGCTCTCTCCCCATACCCCTGCAAACTTGTCCTCCCGAAATATCTATCTACTTCTCTCTTGAAAGTTATACTGGATTGTAGTAATAATTCTAAGAACCATACCTTGGCAGCCACCTCTGCACTGATCTCTTCTTGGGTTTCTGCCAACCGTTTCTTTGCAATTTCTGTTCTTCTGTCACAGTCTGTGATGAATGACTGCAAGTGATCCATGGCCTACAGACAGACAAGGTGGGAAACACAGAAAATATTCTCAGTAAAACCTCTAATGCAGTTTTAAATATGGGTGATCAGCCAATGTCTGACATACGTGGAAACCCATTGTTGTTATCAGTGGGGGTTTGACACACGTGGAAACCCATCACCATGCTTAAGAATCACTAAACCAGATAGAGTTGCATGTTTGTCATCTGCAAACGGAAATACCCACGTCTGGAATGAAATGTGCACTCTCTTCCCATTCTGCTTACCTTATTCCGGAAAGTATTAGGCACAGGTTGTAAGGGCCAAGGCGTGGGGATCTCATTCCAATTGTCAAAATAAACCAAGGCACTTTCTAAATCAGAAATGGTCTGTAATCTGCAGCAGCGATGAATGTAAGGCAAATCAATATTTCGCAACAAACTTCTTTATATGAATAAAACAAAAGTCACTCAATCTGGTAGAGTGACAATTTCATAGTCTAACCAGCTAAAACTGCATAGCCTGCTATCAAGAGCACTTTCCCACTGATCGGACCCTACCCGTCAGGGCTTTGGCTGCATGGTTAACAGGAGATGAGTGGGTGGATTCCTTGCTCCCAGTGACTGGTTGGCCCTTCCAGGTCCTGCTGATGAGCCAGGCCGAGCTGTGCTATCATCACCAGCGCCCTGGAATACTGCGGCCCCTCCTGGTCCAGGAACCGGACAACCGAGAAAAAGTGAGAACGATGACCACTGAGGATGGATTTCATTCCAATATTCTGTTGACGTTGCATTGGACCAAGCTCAGCTCAGAAGAAGCGCTGCTTACCATGTCCAACCCCACCCCAGGAGGATAATCAAGCCTGTGTTGCATTAATCCCCCCACCCCCTTACTTACATCCATCTCAAAGAAGTGATCCTTCTCCTTGGAAGCAATTTCATAGTCGGCTCTTAGTGCAAGGTCATGAACTTTCGTGCACTCCCCAAGGTCCATCCGCTGCAGGATTAACACAAGTGGTTAGCTACCCCCACATGGTCACGCTAAACAGCAGAACACACGCACACAGACACACAAACACTAGCCCCACTCAGCACCACTCTCTCCTCTCTCCACCAACCCCAATGACACAATGCTGAAACACACAATTATAATCATCCATTTCCTTTCACATCAGGGAGACATCTCAAAGCGCTTCACATGATTTACTGGAAAGTGGAATGATTGTCTATTTGTAGGCGTACATGATAGCCAGTTTGCACACAGCAACAAACCCCACATAGCCATGAAGTGAGTGAGTGATTTTATTTGGGGGATTGTCGGCCAGGATGCCAGGAAAGAGAGAGAGAGAAACAACCTTCTCTTTTCCAACAGCGCCGCGGGATCTAAAAAGTCCACATGAACAGAGCACAAACGGGGAGTGAGGTTTAACGGTTCATCTGAAGGGATGGCACGACCGGTAACACAGCACACCCCGGCCCTGCACTGGAGCATCTGCCTGGACAACACAGCACACCCCGGCCCTGCACTGGAGCATCTGCCTGGACAACACAGCACACCCCGGCCCTGCACTGGAGCATCTGCCTGGACAACACAGATTGCAGGTTCTGACAATACATTAGTTCCAATGAATAGCTTTGAGGTCAAATTTGGTCACTCAACCCACGGCTGTTCGTGGGACACTGCTGTGCGTAATTGGCTGCCACGTTTCACCCACAAAACATACAGTCAATTCACTTTACCGTGTATTCTGTGAAGTGCTTTGAGATGTCTAGAAAACATGATTAGACGCTATATCAAATGCAAGGATTATTATTATATTATTACAAGCTGTAGTAGTTGTAAGGAGGAGTGAAGCTTTGTGTAAAGTGTGCAGAATACTTTACCGTTCCTGAGAGGATATCATGTGGGCAGCAGCTCAGCAGGTGGCTCTTGCAGACCCGATCATCTGTGAACCTGATTCTCTGCCGACTGGCATCTCCTGGAATAGAGAGTCATAGTGCAAAGGCAGGTTAGCCAGGGAGCCAGAAACCGCACACACTTAACATGTAACCCCCTCCTCCACCCTTCCACCAAAGCATGTTTCCAACACCTCACGCCTACTCTGTACTGAATGGACACACAGCGCAGACAGTGGGGTCTGCTCGGGGCTGGGTGAAACAGCTACTGTCAAAGCAAATGAAAACATTCAGGCAACAAATGTTACAGCGGGAGGGGAAAGCTCTGTGTAGCAATAAACTGCTTTTAAGAACATAAGAACTTGTTGGCAAAAGCAGACCAAGGTCCATCTAGTTCGCCTTCCACCCCCCCTGGCAGTCGCTTGACATGTCGTGTCCCAAACTACATACTGAGATAAATCGATCTATTTTGTTCTTGAAACAGTTTCAAAGGAAACCAATGCTGTACCAGACGACCATGATTGGCTTTAGTTCTACATACAACTCAACACTGACTGCGTGTCACTGTTTCCATCCCTCCCTTTATTTACCCTCAATCCCACAGTCTGGCCTGGCTATTGTAGTTAGTAATTATATCATGAGCTGGCTACTGGCGACTATGCAGCCTTTGCAAGCCTATCACCCCTAGCCCCCACTACTCCTACCCCCCCAGCCTGGCACACTGCCTCCCCACACCCAGTGGATTGAGTTCAATATCCTCGTTCTCATTTAAATCCTCCACGGCTTCAATCCACCCTACCTGACCCCGCCACTCCCTTCACTAAGCGAGCACCAGACAGCTTCATGTCCCTACCTACCCAGCAGGCAGACTTTCAGCCCCCGTACACTGTAACCTCCACCTCACTCTCTCTCTCCTCTCGTTCGAGCCCCGTCTCAACACCTACCTCTTTGACTGGGCTCTCGGTCACCTTCCCCCTCCCCCCCACCCCCCCAATCCCCAGTTCGGGTGCCCAGCCGAGCACTTTGAGACGTCCTCCCGACGTGAAAGGCTCTGTGCAAGTTATTGAATGCAACTTACAAACACAAGCTCATTTGATAAACATTTGGAGGGGAGGGGTAAAGAAAGAAAAATAACGTTAGTTTATATTTGGGGTCCTGGTGAACTACATCTGAAACAAAGGGGGGTTGAAATGTGAATTTTAATATCGTCCTGCCTTTGATAGACCTTTGTCCACACCAGTGAAGTTCACCATCTCTCTCCTCCACCCCACCCCTCTCTGAAGCTAACACTTTCTATCAGAAATCACACCACCTCAAACCCATTGACCCCGACTGTACAGCACGGAAACAGGCCACTCAGCCCAACTACTCCGTGCCGATGTTTATACCCCTCCTCGCTCCTCACTGCTCCCTCCCACATCCTCTCTTCCCCTCTCCCTCACATGTGAAAGTCTAGGTTCTTTTTGAATGCATCCACACTGTCTGATTCAACCATCGCTTCAGGCAGCAAGTTACACAGTCTCACTCCCCTGTGCATGAAGTAGTTCCTCCTAAATTCACCTTCAGATCCCCCAGTTGCTGTTTTATACTTGTGTCCCCTGATTACTAACTCCCCAGCCAGTGAGACCAGTCTATCTATGCTACCTCATCAAACCCCTTTTATAATTTTAATAATTAGGTCTCCTCTTAAGCATCTCTGCTCCAGTATATAAAGGCCTACCCTCTCCAGGCTAATGTCACAAATACCTATCAGCTCGGCGAGAGCCTAGTGCTGACCGTTATATATGGACCAACGAGGCAGACCTTTGGCGGATTCACTGCCAAACCCTTGCCAGGTGGTGGCTTCGATGATATGAGCCAGAGCCTCAACTCACACCAGCCTGCCATCCATCACTAAGGACTCCTACACTCTAGCTGCCTGACAGCTCAGTCACAGCAGCTCCTGTCCCATCACTGGGGGTCACTCTGACTCTCCTTAACACATGGAATGGTCGCCAGTGGAAGATCAGAAGGATCTAGGAAACTCTCTGACTGAGACTTTCTTGGGGACTGGACGAGTCGGGCGAGAAGGTCATTGGAAACACACTTTTCCCACCACTCCCGTTTACTAAACGTTTAAGATTATAAATCACACAGATGATTTCATGTGTTTCGGGCTACTTATGTGTTTAAGACGCCATCCAATCTGTCTTTTGTGAAGATGCTTCCAGGCAAGTACCATGTCTTGGAAATAAAAACCTGTAGGAAAATCAACCGTGATAACTAGAAGCTGAACACGATTAGAGCAGTTGTGGGGAAATGTGTTCAATACATAAAGAAAAGACCAGTCTATCTAGACTGTACGTGCTCCAGGAGCACTATATACAAGTTACACCACTATATACAATGTTAAAATACAGTCAAACTTACAAGCATGTGCAAAGTGGTCCATATCAGGCAAGTCATTCAATGGAGGTCTGAGCTCCGCGTCCTATTCTAACGGAGACTAACCAGCACCTGGGGGGAATGGTTCCTCTGGTGAAGTTTTAACAAGAGCAGCTTTTAAGAGATCGACAGACTGGTTACCTTTGTTGATGGCAGCTCCACTCAATCTGTGGCAGTGCTTATCCCACAAACAACCAAGGGAAAAGTTAGGATTCCGCTTTAAGGAAGGGTATTCGGATGTGGTAACTTACAGTATTCTCCATACTGACCTGGTTCGAACCCACTTTATACACTGCCCACGCACTTCTTTCAGCTAGCTGCTTTGGAGCCATTACATATGTGAACGATAATGGACAGGAGAAAAACACATTGAAATCACATCAAACTTAAAAAAAAATGAAAAAGATGAATAAACACCACTCATAAGGACCAGTTATAAAATACATCGAAAAAAAGCACTGTCCAGAATTTTACAACCTTAAATCGCCACAGAAAGCGCAGTGTGTTCACTGGGTTTAAACTAGTCCAAGCAGTTAACTTGCTGTTAATTATAAAACCATGTGCTCAAAGTGGCACACTTTAGGATGCAATTACAATGGCACATGGGAGTTACATAAGCTCACACCCAAACAATATGCAAACCTTCACAAAGAAAATTGTGGTGATTGTGTCATCCTACCCTACAGACGCTGTGCTGAAGTGGTGCAAACACAGACCCTGGGGCAGGTGGACTCCTGTGAGAGCAAAGCAGGGTTTAATGGATATGATCTGATCAGAGAGTGGGGAAACATGAACAAAAGGCACTCTAGTTTGCATTCCTTCACATACTAATAGCTCCCAGTGTTCCCGCTTGGCTCAGTACACTCTGCAGGCCGCTCGCACGCTAAAAGTTCCGCCCTACAGCTCGCTTTCAGGGGGTTTGGAACGCAAAGCATTTCCAAGACATGATACTGTGTGGAATTCCTCCAGCCCGGTAAGAGACCCTTGTTGAAATCAACTGCCGCACTTTTAAAAAAACCCAAAAGGAAAAAACAGGAGATTGAGAAAGCTTGCAAAGGAAAATACACACTGTGAGAGCCCCCAGGACAGCAGCTGCCATCTGCTCCACTATTAGTCCCTCAGCTGAGGAGGTTTACAGCCTGGATGTTAGGGAGTTAAAAAGGGGAGAGTGATCAGCATTTGTACACCACCGATCACACAATAAGCAATCACAAAACTCATCACAAAAGGCAAAATACTGCAGATGCTGGAAATCTGAAATAAAAACAGAGGTGGCTGGGAACACTCAGCAGGTCAGGCAGCATCTGTGGAGAGAGGAAAGTGGGTTAACATGAAACCTTAACCCACTTTCCTCTCTCCATAGATGCTGCCTGACCTACTGAGGGTTCCCAGCAACTTTGTTTTTTATTACAAAACTCATGACCTTGGTTTTGGACTAACTGTGTGCGAAGATCAACCATGAACAGCTTTTTTCAGTTGGTACTTTTCAAAAGGCCATGTTCCAAATTAAAATGTGCGTTTAAAACGTCCAGAGTGTTGGGACAGAGAAAGGTCAGCTCTGGCAAATATAGCTGGGCCATTTGCCCTGTCTACACTGTGTGTAAAAATCACAATTCAAGTAACAGGAGCAAAACCAGACTACTGCACTTGCAAAGATGTCTCACACACCAGCCAATGTGTGGAATTGTCAGTATCATTAAACGACTGCCATATTCAACTGATTGATACTGGTTTTGAACAAGCCTTGATATTACCATTCCAACAGTATTTGGCTACACTGATACAAGTCTAATCTGCTGGCCTCAGTGTTTGGATTTAAGTGACTGAAAACTACAACACCACACAAGGGCAATTCTATACCGTCTTCATGTTATTGTAAAGATGAGAAGTGGGATTGAACAAACAATTGAGCCATTTCTCCCACAATTGTTTTGCTCTTTAGCTCCTGGGTTTATGTAAAATTGAACACTTCTGCGGCTCACAGACGTTTCTCAAATAGGGAATCATTACCCAGCCAAAAGGTTGGACCCCCGCCGATCTACAGTATTAACCAACTCTGCTGCACTGCAGCAGTGAAGCCCACCTGAAGCCCACCCACCCAAGAGCATTTTGTGGTGATCGCTAGAGAACACTTCTGACAAAAGGCAGCCCACCTGTGGATTCTGCTCACATTCAGAGATAGACAAGCAGATTAGCTTAGAATACATCTTGAAGCAAAGCCAGTCACACTGAGGGCTGACGTCAGATCAGAACGTTTTCTAGTAGAAAATGTACTGGTCTGATTACAGAGATTTTGGGGGGAGTGCTTATTTAGATGAAGAGACATAAACTTTAATACAGAGGTTAATATGCTTAAAGCCCCCTCCTTAGCTCACCATCCATTCAGCTTGTAGTAAGAGCACTTTGTGGTGAAGCGCTAGAGAACACTTCTGGCAAAAGGCAGTACATTGGCCCACATTTTTGATTAAAATGGTGGTTACACTCCTGGGAAAACTGAATTGGCTTTCAAGATGGACTGAAGGGGTAAACAAAGATCTTCAGCATGCCTCAGATTGAGAAAGGCTAGCGACGAGTTAGACCATTCATTGGTTTCAGCAGCACACGCTGGGATTACTTCAATCTTGCTGCAGAAGCAAGACATCAATACTGTAGCTCAGTGCACGTGATCTGTACATAGACTCTGCAGTTACAATCATACAATCCCAAAAGGCAGAAACACAGCAACAAAGCCAGGCTCAAAGCAGGCAGAGCCAAGAGCAGACCCCACCCCCCCACCCCACCGGCCAAGAAAGTTAATCCACTCCTGTGGGAGAAGACAAACAGCCCAGACAGACCCTCTGTCACAAACACTGTCACTGAACAAACAAAAGTAGGGGCATTGCAGGGGCAATAATTGTGTTCAAATCAGTAGCAAGGACTGTAATAATAATCCTTATATAATCCTTGCATTTCAAAGCGCTTCACAGAATATACTGGAGTCCTGTAGCTCAGTGGTTAGATCACTCGCTTTGCAAGTGAGAGACCTAAGTTCAATCCCCGGCAGAGGGCCAAACCTTGGGCAAGTTTCCTTACTCCACACAGAGCCTAATAATAATCCCTCCACCAAAAACAATAATAAATTGGTCATTTTCAATCTACAACTGTTTGTGGGACATTGCTGTGTGCAATTGACTGCCGCGTTCGCCCACAAATATACAGTCAATTCACTTTACAGTGTGTTCTGTGAACAACAACAACAACAAGATTCCATTTATAGAGCGCCTTTCACGTCGGGAGGACGTCCCAAGGCGCTGCACAGTTGGGTCAGGACCCGAGCAGTGGGGAAATGGTCAGAGTGAGGGGAGGGAGGGAGGGAGCGAGGAGGGGGGAAATGGTCAGGGTGAGGGGAGGGAAGGGAGGGAGCGAGGAGGGGGTAGAGAGTCGAGAGCAGAGCTGAAGGCTGAAGGTCAAAGAGAAAGGTCTTGAGACCGGCCTTGAAGGAGGAAAGGGAGGAAGCGGCGAAGGCACTGGGGGATGGAGTTCCAGAGCCTCGGAGCTGAGAGGCTGAAGGCCCGACCACCGATGGTAGGGCGGTTGGGGCGGGGGATGTGGAGCAGACCGGAGCCGGAGGAACAGAGGGTACGGGCGGGTAGGTAGGGGAATAGTAGGTCAGAGAGGTAGGAGGGAGCGAGGCCGGGAATGGACTTGTAGGTGAGGATGAGGATCTTGAATTTGAAGCGCTTTGGGATGTGCTCCCGATGTGAAAAGCGCTATATCAAATGCAAGGATTATTATTATACTGTAAAGACTGTATACTTCAGGTTCCCACTTGTCTTTCCACTGGGGGCAGGGAGACACGCCACTCAGCTCCTGTTAACCCTGCAAGGCAAAGCCCTAAAAGTGGTCCTAACTGGACAAGCAGCGGGAAAGTTTGTCAGACAGCGCTCTCAATGGCAAACTATTCGGTTTTAGCTGGTTAGACTCCATCAGTTACATCAACCACACTCTGGGGTCCCCAAGCCTTGGCTCTTGCCAACCTGCACCTAATACTGTCCGGAATTTGGTAAAAAGCTTGTGTCCCTCCAGGGAGAGAGAGCGCATTCCAGTCCAACAATCTAACTCTGTGATTTCCATGTGTAGGTGGGGTGCATGGAAATCTCAGTCTGGTTTGGGTACACAAGCACGGTTTCCGTTATATATCACTAGAACCTTGAGTGGACCAAGGAAACAGTGTTTGGCAAGCCAGGGCAAGGGCATTGTGTTACACAGTGTTACATCTGAACTGCAGTGGCAAACCATGTATTAAGCTCACTGGCATCTCAAACAAAAGGAGGGATACCATTTCCCCTCCCTGTCCTGTGCTGTAATGGCTATGGCTACTCTGAGATTAAAATGTTGACCGAGCGCTCCAGTTGCTGAGGTGAGCGATCCACTGAATTAATTGGCACTAAACCTTTATAAATAATACAAGGGGCCAAATTGTTCATTTTGTAGAAGGAAAATAAGAACAATGTTTGGTAAATTCAAAACAATGCATCGATCTGCAATATTACATCTCGGACAGGAGGGAAACTTAGCTTTGAGGTTAGGTCCAGCTCATCTGCTTTATATCCAAGTGAGGCCTCTAACTAACCGTTCCTATTTAACATACGATCTACTTTCCCTGTAGTTTACTCTCCCCCCCCCACCCAACCCCACCTCCCATCATGTTGTCCATGCGTTCTACTTGTCAAAAACTTGCGTTTTTTATTGAAACACTCCTCAAACATCCCCCAAAGGCCGCTAGGACTCTGGCATACTTCTTGACTGTTAACAGATTGGCAATTACGCTCAGCAGCGTCCCACAAACAGTCGTGGATTGAGTGACCACCTTGATTTTATAATTTTTTTTAAAGAGATTATTACCCCAGGAAAGCGATCCGCCGATCGACTAACAACCGGGTTCCTACTGACTGCTGGTAAACAGAGGCCTGTGGAGTAAG